GATCTAATTGCTAGTTGGATGTGGACACTAATTGGAAAATTGCAAGAATAAACAAAATTGTGTATAAAAAGTTGTGTTTTTGACCGAAAAGGAAGTCTCCAGGCTCATAGTGAAAAGACAATAAGCCTGCTGCCTGACCCAATGTTACCAAAGAAGAGAACATCTTTGAACATGTTTGTTCTACAAGAAATCATCAATATTTCCAGTTTAAACTCCATGTAAGTAATTATTGCTATCTCTCTCAGTAGTTAGGAAATTGATGTAAATATATAGTAATAAGGAGAATTTGTAAAGTAAACTGTCTGAGCATATTTCACTTAATGATATAATTGATAATGCATTATTGAAAGTTTATTTAAAGGACAGTTACCTGCTCAGACTGAACAATTTAGTCATTTTAACAGTGAAACTTTTCAAGATACCTTCGGTAATCTGGATGTAACCGAGTATCTTAATATATTGAATAAAGTGTTGTTTGTGTTTTTGTATCTCAGTCTCCGAGTCAAATCCTTTATTCTAACTGTTGGCTTTCTCGAGTTGGTGACTTGTGTACTCCACTCATAACTGTATACCTGGATTTTAAATATATATATTTGTAATTGGATTTAAAGTCAAACTCCAAATGACTAGCCTACACAGCATCCCACTACAGTTTCCTCTTTTTCATCAACTGGCATCTAGGGCACCTCTTCCTCTATCTCATTCATTATTGCTTTAGCCTTGTACATCTCACACCCAGGAGTGTCACTCCTACTTCCTAATGTGTGGGATTTGTAACGTCTCTTACTTGCTGACCTTGTAGCCTTTCTATTATTCCATTTGTTTCACCCTTCTTTATGCATTAGATGCCTCTCATACTTTGTTTTACACATCTTCCTTGATTTTATTCCCTGACCATTTATTTATTCCTATGACTTGGATAGCTTGGAAGGGAGATTGTATCTTTTCTCCCATATCTCTTCTATCGACCATAGCCCTCTATGATTGTATGGACCCTGATCTTATTTTGTGTCCACCTTAGGCAGTCACATGTTATTTGGCACATCACTCTATTTTGGGGTTTTTGCAATTGGTTATTTTTGCTACAGGACCCCTTTTCCAGGGATCTTTTGTCCTCTACTTTTACCAGATGAATTCATCAGCTCATCTGGATCATCTGTTCCTCCGTGGATAGAGATGCTCGCAGTCTTTATCACGTTTCATCTCATCACATCAAACCTGCCACTTGACTTAATCTCTGGTTTTTGCACTTTCAATGATCCTTGAATCGCTTGTCTTTTCCAGATCTTAAACTTATATCCTCTTTTCCTATTATCATAATAATATAGTACAGCAAACCTAGCAAATCTATAGCACAGTCTGCCAAATCTAGTAAATTTCAATAAAATTACCTCTTACTCTTCTTTTCTCAAGAGAAAATAAATTAAAGAGATCTTAACCTATCCTTGTAAGATAACCCTTCCACCCCTAGGATCTTAGTAGCTGAAAATCCTTTCCATAAGTTAATATTCTTTCTTAGATAAGGAGATCAAAACTGTACATTGTATTCTAATTGAGGCTTAACTAGCAGTTTGCATAATTACCTCTTTTGACTTGTAATCAGTATGTTTATAAATACACCCTACAATTCAGTTAGCTTCACTACTAGTAATGGAGCACAACTTGGGTGATTTATCCACCACTGTGCCAAGGCCAGGATCCTTTTCTTCAGTCATGCTACTGAGTTGGTTATGATCTATATTAAATGTGTGAACTAAATTATGATAACCTAAGTGCATTACTTTGCACTTACTGTAATTAAAGGCTGTTTGCAAAATATGTGTTCATCTTACCAATTGATCCAAGTAATTTTGTAGTACCTCAGTGTATTCAGTACAGCTAGAACTAGCTAAGGATTTAATGTGGTCAACAAACTTTTCTAATTATGCTCCTTTCACAATCATTAATGTCAATAAGAAAGAGCCAAAGCACAAACGCTGAACTCTGAGGTTCTCCACTAGTAAAAATGGTGCAGTTTGAATGGATTCTATTAATAACAACCTTTTGCTTTTTCCCACACATCCACCGTACAATCCAATTAACTAGTCTTTCTTCCATCCCTACTTATGTTATTTTCCTAGCTAATCTGTTGTATGGAACCTTAATAAAAGTGTTTGAAAATCTAACTAAATCAAGCCCAAACACTTTACAGTGTCTAGATAACAAGCAACATCTTACAAAAAGGTAACTGATTAGTAAGACAATTGCCAAACCAAAGGTTAAAATGAGTATAGTCACCTTCAAACAGAAAAATGCTGAGCTGAAACTTTTTTTTCATCTCTGTTTCTTAGTTTTACTAATGTTATCTATTGTCTTTCAATTGCAAAAAATGTGCATATTTGCCCTAATATTAATCCTTGAATGTGATTTGTTATTACAGTTTAATCAGTGACACATATTCATGAGCTATTTCAGTATAGAATGTTGAGGTTTATTAGTTCTGATTTGACCGATCTTGCAACCACCATTAAAGATTGGGAAATAAACATAAATTATGCCTCTTTCGTTCTAGAATGAGCATAAATTATAACACGAAATCATAAATGTTTAGACTAAATAGCTTAAATCTCATAACTTTATACATTTATATATATTTATTATTTTTATTATATTGACCTTTCACTCCTGCCTGGCTAACAGTACACAAGTTACAATGACACGGCTGATGTTCACTCATGTTAATGTATCAAATAATATAAGACGGACCTTTGATCTGTACAAAGTAACTTGTCTGGCTGTGTTTTAGTAGACTAGTATTTTGTAAAATACAGTCACATTTTAATTATTATAAGTTATATATATATATATAGATTA